ACTAAAATTCACATTGAAGCACGGTATCTTTTGATCCTTCTACTGGAAGTCACCGTTTGGAAAACCATATTATTCTGCCTATATATATATATATATATAAACCAAAACACGAGATCTGTTTTTTTTTTTTTTCAGCCAATCACATGCAAAACGATAACCTGTAGCGTCTGGCGACATTTCCCGCCCTTAGCACCAGTCACTTTTTTTGCTACAAAATACCAATTGTCTCCTCGCTTTAATTTAAGATGTAGTGACTGAACAGAATTGCGAAGAGCCTTGTCAGAAAATCTCGTAAACTAAACAACTACTCACCTTGTGGTTTCTTCTTGTCGATCTTCAAAGCTTTGTTCAGAGCTTTAAACTTGTCGTCACTTAGAACTTTAGTCCTTCCTTCAAGCCCCTCGCCCATCTTTGCTTTTGCAAGGCTTCTTGAGTCACTAAAAGAAAACAAGAACGCTATTCCTCAGAAATTACAAAACGATGAAGTATGGTCGTTCAGGCAGGAACAACTTTGCACTTTTTAGTCTGGGTCATAGTGGCGACATAAGGATGCGTCTTTCAGCGGTCCATGTCGTTATGTCTGATTTTAATGCAAAGAAAGGGAAAGGTACAAACAAACGTCACTTACTGTGAGCCATGAGCTTGGTCATGCTCAGTCCTTCTTCGCTTTGGTCTGTAAAAAGAAAAAAGGTTTTACTATCGAATACTCAATACTGAGTAAAAACAGAATGGGCAAAATTTAAAAATCGAGTGAAATACGTTAGCATTTATAACGAGTTACAAAATAAAATAGCAAATTAAAAAGATCATGGTCAGTTTAGAGCTCTTTGTTGAAAAATTACAACTCGTAAAGTTTGCTTTGTTATAGACCGCGAGTAGTCCCTCTTTCGCTTACTCCGTCGTGCGCGACGCGAAAGAAATTAAAACCGTGAGAAAAACATGGCCGCGCGAACTCCTGGGGTGAGAAGCACGCCAGCGTCTCGTCTTCAGGATTTCACGCGGCTATTTTTTCCTCGCGGTATATTTACGGTCTCGCTCGACGGACTAAGCGAAAGAGGGACTACTCGTGGTCTAGCTTTGTGAGCATTGGAATTGCACTTCGATTTCGCGATTTTTCTAAAAAAGTATATTATACCTTTTTCAACCCTTTGTTTGTTCGGTCAAGAAAATCACATGATTATCGTGACGTCATCATTTTCGAAAAGCTCCGTTTTCAAAACGTTTGCCGTCCAAACTAAAACGCAAAGCCGGCGTTTTCAATTTCCTGATCCATTTTCGCGACCTATTAGTGTGAATATCAGGTCTAACCTGAGCGTCTTCAACTTTCTCCAGCGTATAGGGGCTGAACCCGGGTGGGAAGAAAGGAGAGTCCAGGAACTGGACTAGCTTCGTCCACACTACGCTGGAGAAATTCGAAGATTTTCACGTAAAATGATTTACTTGAACGTTTTTTGTCCTGAATTTTTGTTTATGCCAAATACCAATAAGAAAGTTATTTAAACCAGTTTAGTTATTAACTTTAGATGTAATGTTAGCGAATAAGTGAAAAAAGGACTTTCTGATGCCATTTGAAAATCAAATACTGCTGTTGTACGGAAATTCAATATGCTATTGTAATTATATATTTTAAATTCATTGTTTATTGTTGTAGTTTAGGTGAGGGCCACAGGTTTCTCAGTCCATGACAGTCAAGTCTTTCCCTCGTTAAATAAAAAAAAAATAAGTAAAATAAAGTTATGATAATATGGTGGCTAGACTTTCTTAAAGTCCTTTCCAATAATATTTCATTTCCATTCTCGCTTCGCTCGATGAATGACTAAGCGAAGGTCGACTTGTAGTAAGTCTATATGGCGGCCTTCAAGTCTATAATTCTTTCATGATTTTATAACTAAACCGGCAGAGGCAATAAACGCCAAACGCCTAACCTAAAACTGCTGCGAAAACCCTGGTACTTAATGTCTTTCGTCTATAAGGAGACGGATTTCACACCGCAAGAGGGGTCGTTCACTATTCACTTTCATGCTGCCGGTGCACGTTTCTCTATTAGCACGAACATTTTGACCCAGTTCAGCAACTGGGGTCAACACACATATATTTGTCTCGTTTTGGCATGTAGATGAACTTCTTCTGATCTCCTGATATGACACCCCCTCATAGAATAGCCCAACCTCATTCCCAGGTCTCTCGTCTTCCGGCCCCATGGAGCTTTCCTCTCTCGCTCCAGGGGCGGTGTCACAGTGATTGGGTATCCCTAGTGTTTTGGGGCAAGTGAAATCATCCAAAATTCTGCTGAAAAACCATTTATCTTCTTACGAAGCTTTGTCTCAATAAATTAAAACTTTCTCAATCTTGATATAAACACATAAAGTTGGTGAAAATAGTCCAAATTTATAACAGAATGTCTGATCCGAGGCCGCAGTAATATAACAACATACAAAACCCATTCACGCGCCAAAGTTCCTGTAATGAACATGCACTTGGTGCCTATCGATAACCTTTGAAATGCACGTCATTTTAAACAAGAAAGGCGCATTCGAAACCTCGGATAGTTCGGCGATTGAATAAAATCAATATGCGAGCGAAAACACTGAGATACGGCCATCACGCAATACGCAGGTCTCAATGCGTCAATTTATTGAGACAAAGCTTCGTAAGAAGATAAATGGGTTTTGAGCAGAATTGTGGATGATTTCACTTGCCCCAGTTTTACGCTTTCAGTGTTTTGGGTACCCAAAACACTAGGGATTTGGGTACGGGGTTACCCAAAACACGGGGATACCCAAATCACTGTGACAGCGGGATGATCAGAGACCCTGGGAACGAGGTTGAGAATAGGCGACAAGAAACAGTCTGCCGTTTCGCCGTTGCTCTGTTTAGCAACGAAAATTCTAGATTTCTTTTTGGCTAGTTTCACTGCACATACTGAAATCTGAGATCTGAACACTGAATTGGAGCGCTGGAAACGAGACAAAGGAAAGCTTTCGGTCAATTTTATAGCTTCCGCTCGAAGCCTCAGATACACGCTAGATTACATGCAAATGAGAAAAGTTCACCGTGAAAAGGGCTATTAACATAACAGCCCTTTTCGCGGATAACTTTTCTCATTTGCATTACAAAGTAGTGAAGTAATGTATGTGAAGTAATTTCAGGCTATTTTCTAGTTTTAGCCCGAAATTGCCTCGCACACACGTTGGATTACATTGTAATGCAAATGAGGAAAACGGAAAAACTAATCGTGAAAAGGGCTATTATATATAGAATCTGACCACGCGAGCGTCACGAAAACGGAAATTCTTTCTCACTTTGATCAGTGATCACTCCAAAGTTTAAATTACTTTGGTCACTGAGCGAATGTTAATTTGGATTTAGTCGTATACTTTCCTTTGTTTCCATTTCTATATTTACCTTGTTGATGTTGTAAGTTAATCAGTGTAAGATTAGTCAATACTGCAAATCATTTTATCAAAATTATCGGAAAACTATTTGCGTTGAAATTCTCTCCAACTTAGCTAAGCACTTAGTAACGTATACTAGTAAACTGAACTAAATCAAGATGAACGAAAGTTCATCGGAGAAAACCAATTTAGCGTGGAATTGAATATTCAAGCGTGGGCGCGACAGGGGCGTGAGTGTGGACAGCAGCGCCTGACGGACACGCATCCCTCTGACGAACAACACCACATTCAGACTGAAATAAAACCCTTTTAAAGGTGAAAGAAATAGCAAAGAAGGTATAATAAACCGAAAATAAAAAAAAAAAAGATGATTAACACTTGGAAGATTAAGAGCTCTCAGAACGAATTGTTAACCCTTCTTTATAAAAGGTCGGCGCCGTGACGAAATAAAATTATTTATATCGATATGTTTGTTTTTCTGCTTACTGTGGGAGATGTACTCTCAATTCCTCCTATTCACCCTGAGTATATAAGATACTTGTAAACTAAATCATTACAAGACGAATGATCGTTCATTGAAGGAAACCAGTGTTTTTAAACTCCTGTTTGAAGAGTTTAGCGCGCAACTGAAATATTCAATTGAAGGATTATACGTCTGCGTGACAGCTACCATTCGGCGGCAATGGATTTACACGCAAGCAACATCACTGAAATCGTTCTGGAAATCTCGATATGTGGATTTTAAAACAATGAGATTTAAAGTTATGAAGCTTGTGGGGTCATTTTCCTAAAACTGAATATCTATAAGACTACAACAATAAGAATCTAAAATCAAGTATATACGAATTCGTCAAAGCTAAAACTACAAGCAGGAGATATCACATTAGAATTAAAAAAAAAAAAAACAATGTCTAAAGATTTAAGCCTCCACCTATGGTCACTGTATGGAGTCCTATGCACCTATAAATAGGACTCTTAAGAGTTTATACTCCTTTTCAGGGAGTTGATTATTACAAGCATCCATTGAGAAATTCAAATGAAGGCTTACGAGTCTGTTACAGCCACGCGGTGGCCGTTTGCATCCAGGAACTATTTACGTGCTCGGCGGTCTGATCGAGCTTTAAATCTCGTTTACTAACCCTTTAATGTGCCACAGTTCGGATTGCAATCGGCTAGAGATCGAATCAGAAAGAAAACTTGTAAACAACAGGGAAAGAAATGAGGTGGCATAGCTCAACAAGTTATCAATAAACGCTGTAGTACATAGACTTACTCAGGGCTGCCCGCTGAAGCACGACTGGAACTTGATCTGGTTCTGCTGCCTGCTGACGAAGCACCGCGGCTTCTTCGGCTCCTTGTTGGCGGCATTTTCAGTTCAGATCAGCGATTAACGATCGAGACACCTTCCTTCTGTCAGTGCTGAGAACCTTCACACTTTGGTGTACTGATCTGTTTATAACATAACATTATAATAAAACAAAATTCTCGAAAATGATTGGTTGTTATTAGGTATGTTGAGTGACGTAAAACCAAGGTAATCACACTGGCCAATCACAAATGACAAAGACAAAGAAAACCCAATGACCCAATCAAGACGTGCACCCGAAGCGCGGGAAACAGTGCGAGCGGGTCACGCGTGGTTTGGTTTCACATTTGATTGCATGAGTAAGTGGCGCGAGGCCGATCGCGCGATCACGCAATATGCAAAATATTGGCTAAATATTTAAGAGCTGGCTTTTAAGCTTCTAGAGTTGTAATTTCAAGAAGAAATTGCCATCTACAGAGTGGAACAATTTTTTGGGCGGCTTGATAGACGCTTTTGAAGGTCGTCGTGGAGATTAAATATTTCGCACTGCTGTACAATTCATGTTTGTTCAAGCCGAGTTCAAACACACTTGGTTTGAAGTACAAACGGACCTCAAGAGGTGTAATATTAGGCCTAATATATTTATCTTGGTTTTTGAGATTGGAAGGGGGTCCTAAATCTTAGGTCTACACAGATTTTGAGTCTCCCATCGGTCAAGCGCTTTGGACCGAATAATGTTTTTAAAGGTCCTTGATGAAACAGCATGTTTATTTAAGTGCGGCTATAGTGGTCAAATACATAGTTAGCCTGAATTTCAGCCCTTCGTTCTATTTCACACTCCCGAAAAGACGTCTGAACCCATGCGCTGCTAATACCGCCTGGCGACGCAATGTCGCCGTTTGCTTTATTTCATGCAGAATGTATTAAAACAAGAGCGTCTATTATACGGGAGTCGTTCATTCTGGAAACCCAAACACCGTGACAAAGATTTCTCGAGATGTTTATAACAAAGCGTAAAAGTTCAAGTTTTGAGGGATCTCTCGATCTTTTAAGCCTCTTAACTCTGTTTGAATGACGACCGCCACAAAAACACGCAAAACGCGAAAACAGCAGGATAAAACTATGATTTCCTGCAACCGCGCGACAATAGGGACCTTACGCAAAAAAACACGACGGTAACGGCAACGAGAACGTCACTAATCAAAAGGTTTAATGAGCAAAACAATGGCTGTGCAAGTGCATTTCTTTGCCGTCCTCTGCAAAACAACAACGTCTGAAATGATCAAATTCTGCGTTGTCTGGAGAACGTGAACCACAACGGCTAATTTTTTGTATTTCTATTTGGAATTGAACGAATAGATTCGTAGCATATTCAGCAGGGGCATGTTTTGATACCGACAGACACACTGGATAGTTCCAAATAAATGCGAAATTCCAAAGTAAAGTAGAAACACATTTTTTGCAATGCATCTCCCTCGCCGTCGCCGTCGCAGTCGCATATACCTGCTCTCAAAATTGGCTTAAACCGCAATAAATATATCTTATTAGATGTTTTGATATGTAGTATTGCTGTACAAATACAAACAACGAGTAAAAATATGCAGCGATACTACACATCAAAACATCTAATAAGAGATTTATTATCCAACCGCTGTAGTCAATAAATTTATCAGTGAAAGAGGGAGAGTGTGACAGTTTTGGGTGCGTGCGTGCGCGCGTCGACCTGTCCGGCAAACGGGTTTTCTACTGTGCAAATAACTGTGCAATATCGCGGTAAGTATTTGTACTGTTATTTTGACGGTATTCGCTGCAGTTGGATAATAATATAACAGACTCTCAAATGAGGGATGCTTTGCATAGGGTGTTTTTCTTTATGCCAGAATTAAATTCTGGAAATTTTGGTCGAAAGTCAAATGGAAAGGTTTGTTTCGGGCCCTTCCGATCGGAGTATTTGGGACCGGCTGGAGTGGTCCACTTTAATCGGTCTGACCGGTCGGCCAGAAATTTACCTTTCCAGTTTGAAAAATTGGTTCGTTTTCCTACTTCTCTTCAGCAGATTTTCCTTTATGCGGGAGATTGAAGAAATGAGTAGAAAATGGTAATAGTCATTCCTTTCATTTAGCCAGGTTTGACCGAAAAATAACGTTCCATTTTCCTTGGCTAATCCCACTGTTCTTCAGAGTGAAACTGACTAAATTAAAAACGATATACCTATTTCGCCCGGGAATAATTTTGCCATGTAACAACGTACAAGGAAGGCTATTTTGGCCAATTATTGACAGTCCCTCGTGGATCTTACGTTGGAAATGAGCGGTTAGTCAATCTTTATTCCTGATTCCATATGGTCAGGAGGTGTACGAACGTTTTGATTGTTTTCAGTCATTCGAAGTCATAAATCAAAGTCTGACTCTGAGTTCTCTTGTTCTTACACGAGAGTGGTCACATTTTGTTTGGGTGTCTGGAAAACCTGAATAGCGAATAGCGAATAGTCCCGAATAGTGCGAATAGTCTCGAATAGTGCGAATGGTGGCGAACAGTCGCGAAAAGTGGCGAATAGTGACGAATAGTCGTCGATAGTCACCGCTTTAGGTTTAATACCCTGCGTTAATTAATTATCCAAATGAGCAACAGAATTTCAGTGAAGTTATTACCTTTTCTTCCCCGGACTCAGGCTCGGGCTGTCCATCGCCGACATTAAGAAAACAGAAAACACAAGGATACCCTAATAAAGACATATTTATGCTTTTGGAGCAGTTAAAACAGAAGAAGTTACGTTTAGAAATACCTTTTGTCCTGAGAAGCGTCTGTACCTTTTAGCGGGAAAATCCCGTCATACGTTGCTGCGAGGTTGACTGCGAGATACTGGTTACACTATTTGCTACGATTTGCCACTTAGGCCCAGTTCAGACGCGGAACTTTTCATGAGCCGAACCTTATACGTTGAATTAAGTACATGAAAAGTTCGGCGTCTGAATCAGTTAAGAACGGCTATTTGAATTTGGAACGGCTCAGCCGTTCTTCCCGCCTAGCTCAGCCGGGAATTTCGGCTTTGGAACGGCTTTGATTCAGACGTCGAACTTTACATGTGCCGAAGCTAATGCATACACCTTGCCTGAAAACCGCTTATATTTCGAAGTGTTTTGGTTCAAACTAAATTAAGTTCGGTGAATTAAGTTCGACGTCTCAATCAACAGGCGTACTTTTGATAATTTGGGTCGGTCCAACTTCGAATTAAGTTCGACTCATGAAACGTTCGGCGTCTGAACTGGGCCTAATTTGCCACTATTTGCCACTATTCGCCACCATTCGAGACTGTGCCCCACTATTCGCACTATTTAAACAATAGAGTGTTTCTGTCGAGGAACTATCGGCTGATAGTTGCCCCGCGGAAATTTGATGTTCTTAAAACAAATATTTGCCCGAGAAG